TTGCGCGGCGTGAGGGTTCTTCACCCCGCACAAAATGATCTACTCGACCACCATTATGGTTACCGCCAAAAAAAAAACAAGGTAAGAAAAATAAATCGGTAACCTGGTTGCCGAGTTNACTTGCGTGCGGTTAACAGCTGCGTATGACTTAATTTATTTTCTGGTGCTTTCAATCCAGAGACAGTTGGAAGCACTGTGTAACTGCCTCGAGGGTGCTTGACCATTTTAACACAACGTGNGCTGCGTATGACTTAATTTATTTTCTGGTGCTTTCAATCCAGAGACAGTTGGAAGAGCTGTGTAACTGCCTCGAGGGTGCTTGACCATTTTCACACAACGTGGTGCGATCATCCCCTTTGCGCGGCGTGAGGGTTCTTCACCCCGCACAAAATGATCTACTCGACCACCATTATGGTTACCGCCAAAAAAAAAACAAGGTAAGAAAAATAAATCGGTAACCTGGTTGCCGAGTTCACGAAATGAATTGGCTTGTTTTACAACGTCGTTGCCAAGCGACGAAAACCCACCACGGGGGGGGGGACGGGGGAGGGGAGTTCATTGGTCGGTGTTTATTCGCATCTGCTATCTGCAGCCTCCTTATGAGCTGATGTAACCCCATGGGTTTTCTGTCGTTTGTGTATCCACTTTCAGGATGATGAGTCTTGCAGAGCTTGTCTGGATATCGCTTCTACGGACAAGAGCTGCGACATGACCCACACCGACTGCTCCGGCTTGACGGACTATTTCTGTTGCGTGATCGGTGGAATGGGCAGCTGCAGAAACAACCACTTACTCTTGGACTACGTCAGTGAGTTCGCTGATTGTGTTGCACGGGATTTGACACGAGTACATTGAACTGTAGCTTTCGCGCACATACTGGGTCCGCGTTGATGGGTCGGTGATTGCCGCTGCGTGTCCATCTTGGGATAGATTATTACATGCAGTGCCTTCAGTATTTCACGCGGAACCATTTTTGCTACGCGGCCCTGCCACCATAGGGAAAATGCTCCTTTGCGTGTCCATCTTGGGATAGATTATTACATGCAGTGCCTTCAGTATTTCACGCGGAACCATTTTTGCTACGCGGCCCTGCCACCATAGGGAAAATGCTCCTTTGCGTGTCCATCTTGGGATAGATTATTACATGCAGTGCCTTCAGTATTTCACGCGGAACCATTTTTGCTACGCGGCCCTGCCACCATAGGGAAAATGCGCCTTTGGGGACAAGTTTTGCCCCTTACAAGAATCAACGCTACGGCCGCGGTCGCCAGGTAGTGGATGGATATAAACAGCAAAAACAAAGACACCAACCGACCCGTAAGGGCGTAATTCACGTTCCCGTGCCCCCAAAAACGTGCTCTTTTGTGTCAAATATTTACCAGACTGCGGAATCGGGTGGTCGTCGTGCACGTTGACTGATCTCTGCGACTACACACCTGAGGTGGCCGACGACGACGTCAGCGATGACTACACACCTGAGTTGGACGACGATTACGTGTACGTCAGCACTGAAATCGACGACAACGACGACGACGACGACGCAGAGCCATGCAATGCCGAGGTCCAAGCCTGCGTCGCCGACCAGGACTGTTTCACCTGTGTGCAAAATGACGCCGTCTGCGATTCGTCCGCGACAGCTACATGCTCTGGGGTCATGGACTACTTATGCTGCGTCTTCGGAGATTCATGCAGTGAAAACACCTTGGTCGTGGCCTACATCGGTAAGTCATGTTCTCCGAGGAGTGAATCTCCAAGGAGTGGTGTGTACGTCTCTTGAAACAGGCCAGGCTTGATCCAGTAGGATGTTCGGTTGTTTCGGGCTCAGCGAGACACGAATCCATAGCAGCAGCAACAGCTTTAAGGCTGTCACATGGATCGTTTTTCGGTGAAACCTAATGCAATATAACACCGACAATCTGGACCTACGTAACGCCGGTGATCGAGTCAGACTGCACGCTCGATGACTATGGCTGCAGCGTGGACAACGACCTTTGCGACACAGGGGACGACAACGGAACGCTGCTTATATCGGAAATCGATGGTACGGCATATGGTGTATAATATTGCAAAACGGGATTGGAAAAGCGAAGCACGTTTTCTCCCCGCCCATATAGCGGATGAACATGCCTGTGGCGGATCTTGCTCGCTTCACCATAGGTTGGCCTCCCCACGTGGCGTCTAGGGTGCAGCAAGTCTCCACGACCGTGTAGCATGAGCGCCTTCTAGCTTTGTCTTCACATCTCGAGGAAGGCACCCTGTGAGTGAACCTTCTTCGTGCTCTGCCGACGCAATACGCGAGAGAGTGTTTGGTCGTTTTCTCGACCAAATACATGTATGAATCTGCTGGCGTAATGTCGGTGATGTCGGTGCCCCATATCAATAACCGACATGAACAGATGACGACGGGGAGGACGAGGAACCGTGTCCTGACGAGCTAACTGCATGTCTGGCGGACGAGACATGCGGCGCATGCTACGGAGGTGCTACATTAGACGGGAGCTGCGATGGCCCGGCCACCAACTGCGTTGACCTGGCGAACTACTACTGCTGCGTCGCCGGGGATGACTGCAGCGACAACCCTCTGGCCGTTGGATACATCAGTGAGCGCATCACCGCAATCGTTGATTGAAATACTTGGACTGGTACTACCCATACCGCCCGTCCAAGAGAGGGGGGTAGTCGGATGCATGGTCAAGGGTGACGATCTGGCTAGGGTTACAACCACGGTCGTTTCCGTTTGAAAGGCGTGAGTGCTTCTGTAAACAAAATGGTGATGAACGTGAGTGTATCGTCCGTTGGACCCCGTGAGGCGCAATACCATCGTCGTCGACTGTGTGGGAGGTGTAAATACAATGGTTTCATCTGACGCTTTACCGCGCGCTTTCTTCTGCGATTCCTCCTCTTCCTCCCCCCACCAAAACCAGACTGCTTGATCGAGAACCAGCTGGGCGGCGAGCCGTGCGTATTGAACGATGCCTGTGTTTACACAGCTGATGACGACGCGGTGCGGGAATCCCCACAGAATTGTCGTGATCTCGCGTGCCCGACCAGAGTATGCACGCACATCTGTCCAACGCAGACATATAATGCGGAATCCGACGAACGCAGACATACTGTGCGGAACGCAAGAAACTCCCGGCGTTCCAATTACGTTGAAACCAGATGCCGAATCGCGGAAACATACCGAGTGTCCCCCCCGACTTGGAGGCCTGCGACAGCCCAAATGTAGCGGGGGCGTTTGTCGAAGAAGTTGTTCACCGGGACCATGAGTCAAACAAATTTTCAATCTCCCATCTCCGCTTGACTGAATCGCCCCCCTGATATGACTGGAAACGATGTCTTTGGCCTGTTGCCCCCAAAACCTAGGCTGAGCGAGGTGGCAGCGACGACGACGACGAAGGAATGGTCACCGAAGTCCCCGAAGCCGCTGCCGATGATGACCGCGACGACATCGAACGTGGTGTCGGGGAACTGTTTTCCTGGTCGCCCACGTCTAGTCCCACCTCTTCCCCCACGGCATCTCACGGCGGCCGCGGCGGTGAAGGTCGGGGTCGCGGTGGCGATGACGGCGGTGGTGCCATGTGTCTCACTCAGCAGGCCATCTGTGTGGCGGACTCGGCCTGCGCTGCGTGCATGGCCGGGGCCACGAGAGACGGGAGCTGCGACGCCACCGTCCCTGACTGCGCCGGCGTGGCTGACTACTATTGCTGCCTCGCTGGGGACGTGCGAGGCTGCAGCGACAACGCGTTGCTCTTGGACCTGATCAGTGAGAGCTATTGTATAGTTGGTGTTGAGTTTCAGCAGGGATGCGATTATCATTGGACGGGATAAATTACAACGACCACGAGAAGCGAAGCCCATGACAACCACAACCATAACACGTGTTCTGGCTAGTTGCCCACCCACTTCCTTCTTTCTCGTGCCAACCCTGAACTAGACTGCGAGATCGAGCTGGATTCGTGCACGCTGACCGAGCTCTGCGGCGATGTACACGGAGGCGGCGAGGAGGACGCGGACGATGATGACGCGGTAAGGAGCGACCTTGCTCTGGACGTAAAACCGTCACACATCTTGCTATCCGAATCCAGAATTTTCCCCTACATCTGCCAGCAGATGCGTAGCATTGAAAGCCCAGCGGGTCAGAACCGAGATCGGTCAGTAGCTGGATTTGTGTAGGAGGAAAATTTCGATCGATAGCACGCCCTACTCGACGGATGTGCATTCCTCTACCAACGTGACACACATGCCGGCCACCGAGAACACACGCAACCGCCCACTTGATACGACCCCGCAGACAACCTTTGCTCCCATGCTGTATCGTGGCTTCGGTCGAGATGGTCGACCCAACATGTTCGGTGCCACAAACGGTTGCTGCCCCATCAAACCCAAACCAGTCTTCTCGCAAGGGCGGCGACAAAGATGACGGTGGCAAGAACGGCAACGGCACCGACAACCACGAACACTCAACGGAAACTCCCTGGCTCAAACCGCGGGGACAAGGGGCAGGCGCGGACGACGACGCCCAGAACATCGACGGTGGTTTCGGCGAGTTCTTTACCTGGTCGCCCACGTCCAGCCCCACTTCTTCGCCAACGGGGACTGACGAAGAGCAACACCGCGGCCGCGGCCGTGCCGGTGGCGGTGGCCGTGGTGACGGTAGTGGCCGTGGTGACGGCGGAAACGATTGCCTCGAACAGCAGGCCATATGCTTGGCGGATTCAGACTGCGCCGCATGCATGGCCGGGGCCACGAGAGACGGGAGCTGCGACGCCACCGTCCCTGACTGCGCCGGCGTGGCCGACTACTATTGCTGCGAGCTTGGGGTCACAGAAGGCTGCAGCGACAACGCGTTGCTCTTGGACTTCATCAGTGAGCTACGCCCGCTGTTGTTGTTGTTGTTGTTTGCTGAGAAAGTTGGCTATTTTTCATCCTGTTGGGAAACCAGCGTAATGGGATCGATGCGGAGTGTCGTCATATTCGTGCTGACATCGTTTTTCACCATAACCATCATTGACGCTACCGCATCGGCCCATGTTCAACATCGGCTCTCACCGTTCATCGACTTTTGAAAAAAACAGACTGCGTGGTGGCGTTGGAGTCGTGCACCTTGACCGACCTCTGCGGTCATGAAGCCAATACGGGGGCGCTCGCCAACGGAGGCGTCATAGCGGCCGTCTCCACGGGGAGCATTACCTCCACGTTCGGTGCTGGTGACGTCACCAGCAGTCTGAACAATGCTCTGAACGCACTGTTCTGATTCAACTTTCAACGCGCCTGAAGATAACTGTTCTACATTGATTCGTCTCGCTTGCCCGACGACGCACGTCCTATGTGTGTAGTCCGTAAGTCTATCTGTTCTCCATGCCGCGGCTCTTGTTTGGCTACAATCAATGAGCGCCGGTGTCCACTGATGAGGCATCTCTTCTATCTAGGTAACTGGTGGTCAAGTATTCTTCCAATTTGTTGTAGGGGTCTGTATGCCATGAAGCGGCCGTCGCTTTGGCGTACTTCTGTATGCTTCGGTGATCTCAGAGAGCAGTGTATGATATGTCAAAATAAAATGCTTTGCATGAAGTCAAGGGGGCCAACAGAGATAGAATGTGCCCCATGGTGCTGTTCAATATTGGTGGCATTTACAGTTGATGGTGCTACTTCTCTTGCTGCTACTGCTGGTCGACACTTTCTCGGGTGGGTGGTTCTTGTTCTATAATAAATGGTATTAAACTATCATTTTTATTGGTCGTAGAATTGGTTTTGTTGTTGCTGCTGTCGTTGTTGATCTTGTCGTTGTGTGTTCCTACAGACTTGAACCTTGCAACCCAACCACAGCGGTGGCTTCGGACTCTATCGCCATCGGCGCCCGTCCTTAATGTTTCATGCGCAGATTTTCTACAGATGACTCCAGTATTTCCGTTTGTTTCATTCAGCGCGCTGGCCACAACGTTTGCAGGCAGTCAGCGAGGATCTCCGCCGTTGGCGTAGTACGTCGGCACAAGAAGTATCGACTGGTAGATGCTACTCCAATTTTCACTCCGTCGTCGAGAGCATGTTGGTCTTGAAGAAGTCGCACCTGCTCACGTTGTAACAACACCGTTGCGCTGTGGTTGTTTCGTTTGTTTGGAAATCAGTCCACGGGGTAGCGAAAGAGGGGGCGGGGGAGTGTCTCGCATCCAACATGTAGTAGTCTACCAAGGTGTTGTATCTCTGTTCAAGACTGACTCTGAACAGAGTCGACCGAGAAAATGTCGCGGGGAGCAGTCAGTGTCTGGCAGCCCCGCCACAGTGCGGAAAATGTTACCATTCTATATCTGCACACTGCAAGCAAGATGTAACTTTGCTGCATATCGTAAATACACTAAAGGTCTGCGATGATACGATTCGGTAGAAGCTAACACTTACTGCTGTCTACTGTTGAGGACATCCTTCTTCGCAGCCGTATCTTCGCATCGCACGAAGCAAGTGCTTCAATGTACGGCAAGTCATCGACTTCGCCACGGTCACACCAATCACACCTTGGGTACATTTAGTGTCGGTCTTTCTTGTCCCGGCTGGCATCTCTGATGCTTGTGCGACGTAGGCCACCTTCCATACCATTGCATTTTACGGCGGTCTCGGCACGAGACCATAAACTGCTGTAACCGATCGCGAGTGTGCAGGGTTGTAATGTGGTAAAATGCGATTCGACCTCTTTGTTATTTTGTCTTCACTTCAAATCATCAGTGCTCACAGCATTTGTGCCGTAGACTTTGCTCCAACCCGTGGTCACGCCTACGGACTCCTCTCCCTGAGTCCCCCTGCCCCCCCCTCCTGCGGTGCTTTGTCTTCAAAATTCGACTGGACTGTCTCGAAATTTAAATTTTGGGCATGCAGCGACGTTGTAGTCAAATGGATTTCATCCCGTCTTGGAATTTGAAGTAGCGCGAAGAGGTCACTTCCCCTTTCGCTCCGAAAAAAAAAACACAGTGACCACAGGTTTGATGACGGAATTCTTTAGAGCATGCTTGGGGCACGGTCGTCGCGGCCGCCTCCTGCCGGGGCACCTGCTGGAGCCCCCTCCGTCCCGCACCGCCCGTGAGCCAGCCCATAAGACGGATCCCTATCAACGGCGAGAAGAATTGGCGAATACAAGTCGGCAAGACGTGCCGCGGGCAAAGCTACCTGCGATCAATCAACAAGCAGATTCCACCTCGAATACCTGTGTGTTTCGGGAGTGTCCCGACATCACGCAATCTGTTTGTATTATTATGTTTCCTACAATTGTGATTATAATAAGGGAATAAAATGTGAGGGGCAACTGCGAAACGCGGTGGAACTTTGTGAACCAATCAGATCGTGGTGCGGTACGATTCCGAGGACTGAAACACTGAAACGGATGTGATTCTACCGCGTCAAACGTCGACGTTAGGGACCAAGTCACTGGCAACAGAGAGAGAGAGAGAGAGAGAGAGAGAGAGAGAGACCGAGAGAACTGTCTCTCCTCTACGTGTACGTTCTATTGTGAGACAATAGCAACCAACCCTCAGTCTTCTATCACAGAGGACAGACAGACGTGAAACTACTGTAGACTACATACCACGCCATCCACATGAGCGCATCTACTACTACTTCGCGTTGCTCGAGGTATCGTCGGAGTCAGCGAGAAAGCGCGGCGTGATTTCGTTCCCCAATATACCTGGCAAATACTGTCACGCGAAAGACCAAGGGATAACAAGCTCGTGAGGAGTCCGACTGCTGCTCTGGGTGACAGTCACGACGAGGAGGGTATCTCAGGCCTCATTGGACTTTTGGAAACAGTTGCTGGTGAGTTGAAGGAGTTTGCATGGCATGACCCGCATACAGTGCAGCAGTAGTGTGAACGCATGCAGTGCAGTAAATGTCCTTCAAGTTATTGTTGTACGCTCTGACTCAACCAGTCAAAGAGGTTCAGAGTCAGTATGTTGCTAAACCCTGGCACAGAACAAATCTCCCTTCCTGTGCCCTCCTTCGAGATTTCTGGTGGTCTGACGAGTCTGCCTCTGAGGTACTTCGAAGTAAAAAGCAGAAACAGAAACATGTGTTGTCGTCGAGGATATTCCGCCGCTGATCACTATCGAGTGGAGGAAGACTTCTCGCTTCATCGGCACGGGAGGGGACGGCACGGCAGTGTACTATGCCCGGTTACGGGGCGGGAACCAGCTCCTTTGACCGTCAAAGCGATCGCTAGAGTCCATGACGGAAGGCAGAAGCGCGGGTACCGACCGGGGCGGCAGAGACAATGCACACAACGAGAGCAGCCGAAGGCCTGTTCCGACAATGTTCGGCCACTATTGACGAGATGAGACGAAATCACCGGACCGTAGTGAGGCGTGAGAGCAAGCGGTGTTGCAGTTGCTCTTGTCGTGGAGTTGATGTGTCATGCGACGTGTTCCTTATTCCGTACCGTACAGTCTTGGTAGACCCAGTGAGAGTACGGATGATCAGCGCTGCCCCCATGCAGATATGGATGTGATCACGGAAGTGGGGTGAAACTTCGGGAGTTCGCGTTGCACTCCTTTGGCGAGTTAGAGGAGCGATGGTTTCAGCACCAGGTGGAGACATCGCAGAGGAGAAACAGAAGTCGGATGCATTAAAGCCGTGCTAAAAATAACGTGGAGGACTTGTACTTGGGACTCACGGACGGCAGCATGAATAGAAAATGAGTCAGCCGGGAGAAGGCCAAACGGGGACCAAATAGTCGACTCCTGTTGTAGTCGTCCAGAATGACCTCGATGTGGGTGATATAGAACATAATGGTGTTTACCATTTGGAGGCTCTTTCAGCTTCGGGACTCCTACATTTGCAGTCGCAGTCCCCCGGCTGGTATTTTTGTGGGGAGAGAGAGCGGCTAGTATGACTTAACGTCGCGCCTCGCGGTCAATGCGGCAGGCGAGAAAATGCGCGTTCCGTGTGTCTCTCTCCCCAACGTGTGGTGTGGAAACCGAAGAAACAAAATTAAGCAATTCAAAAGAAAACAGCAATGAAAGGTCGATGTTGCGTGGGGTTGCGTCGGTGGGAGACAATACGATTTGTTGGAGTCGTGTGATTGTCAACAGCTGGTCTACTGCTAGTTCGAAGTGCCACGTCATCAGACATGCGCACGAAAGAGGATACACACTCGTACACCACACAAAGGGATGCACAGCCAACCCGCCAAGAAATGGTCTTGTTCGTATGCTGACCAAACCCCGGGTGACAATCAGCACCACCAGCGGCAGCATCAACGGAGCCGTCACGATTTCGACTTCCACTCCTGCCGCCCTTCTCAGGAGTTCACCCCACTTTTACTGCCAAGGTGCCAGGGGGGTCTCAGGCCCTGGTAGCTCAGGGGCCGCCCTGGCCACACACCCAACAATGGATCCCGTGGGGCGAACCTGCTTTTCTCAATAATAAATCGCTTCAGCCATTAAGATGGTCTCTACGGCAGCAGGTCGGGTGCTGGCAAGGAGCTGTGGCAAATAACGGGTGCACTTGGTGCGGAGACGGTCACAGCCTTCGGGTACCCCTCGTAGACGCTCGCAGCGACCGTGTGGCGCCGTCTGATCGGCAGACGACCGCCTCCGCCCGACCCCGATCATTTTTCGACCAGGTGCACCTGAATCGTGGGTACCCAGCCCCCTGTCGGGCGGGGCGTATTAATACGTTCCTACCAGCCAACGACCGGCCAAGAACGGCGTCAACCGTATGCGCCTGCCACACTCCTTCCGCTGCCCTGTATGCTGGCACTTGAGACTTGATGCTTCGGATTTACCCCGGATAAATATGTCGTTCCATTCCTGCCGATACTCGTACTGGCGACAAATGAGCTGCCACGTCGGCGTACAATGCGCGGCTTTTGCGTGGTAGGTTTTCATCGCTCACGCAGTCATGATGTACCGCTGCCGGTCGGGATTATTGTAGCGAGAGGACAACAACAATCATCACACCAGTTGCTCTGACGAGAGCCGAGACATTCATCTTCGAACAAGGGTTCCGCCGACCGTGGGTCTGCGTCCACCGACGCCGTCGGAAGCTTCGGAGTTTGCGAGCGTTGCTGACATCGACCGGGCAAACCGACTAACCAATCAATAAACGTCTGCCGAATAGGCGGAGGAAAAATGTGAACACGATCTAGTCAGAAGGTGTTACCAACGGGGCTACGCGCAAGAGTTTGACGACGACGTCCTGCTGAAGCACAAGGAAAATACCCAACACCACCAAGCAGCCCTGCTGCTTCATCATCTGTTTCGTGTGTGTGTGGTT